AAAAAAAAAAAACAGGTGACAAACTCAATAGCTGGACAGAAGAAGAGTATTAATGTTATTCTCCTTATATGAAATTAATACTACAGTTCAATATTCAATGCCAATATTCAGTAATCAAGTAGATTTATTTTATCTGGGTGATTTTATACACTATTCCTTACTGCATTGATATATTACCATATACTTAGAATTTTATGATTCTAGAATACAGTATACTGTTCTATAGAAATAAAACTAGTTTTTCAAAAAAAATTCATTTAAAATGATTTAGTAACTATGGTAAAATATCATTAAAATATTGCGTTGTAAAATTGGGATGCACTTATACATCTCTTGTACCTTAGACACAGGCAGGTATGGCAGGTGAACTCCACTCTGTGACTATCACAGCAATATTGTAGGGAACATCCTGATGCACAGATATGTACACACACATCTACAGTATCTTGATAAGTTATCTGCAGTGCCAGGCTCGGAGCATAACGTTTAGCACAGGTTTTCTCATTTAATTTTTATAGCAATTTTACAATGTCTATAAATTATTGTTATTTGTTTTTTGAATAAGGTAACTGTGGTACAGAAGGTTCAGTGATTTGCCCAGGCTCACAAGTAACCCAGACCTCACACTGAATAACTGAGCTGTATAGTCCCTAGGAGTCAAAAAATATGAACATTAAAATTTTGATAATTTATTGCCCAATTGCCTGACAAAACTTTGTACCAATTTACACTGCCTCCAATGAATATGTGTGGCCATATCTTAGCCATCAGAGGCTACTATCCTCCTTAACTCTCCCATTTGTCAGGTGAAACCATGATCATCTTAAATTTATGAAATCAAGATTGAAAATTAATTAGTTATTATAGACCCCCCCCCTTTTTTTTTTCAGAAAACTAAATAGGGAAGATGATTTCTATCCCAAAGTCTTCCCAGTTAGAAGATGATGCAGTTTTTATCCTGAAGGCTTCACAGTTGTTCACAAAGACGATTGCTAAAATAACTTATGGAAAAATTCCCCCTTCTATAACTAAAATATATCACATTATATTCTTGAATACAGATTTATTTGAGCAAAGTGACACTGTAGTTTCACAATACCCCCGTGAAGCAATAGGAAAGCTCACCCAAGAATGGCTTGGAGTGGTTCAGTCTGTCAGTTAAATTATTTTCAATCCTGATAGGAAAATATTTTGCAAATATAACTCCAGATTCAGATATGAGACCCTGTAAAAGCAGCTTTAAGGGAGACCTGGTTCTTATACCTACGCAAGGAGTGATGGATCCACGTACCTTTTCCTCCCTTTTGCTGGAGAACAGCGGGTTGTACCAGCTGGTTTTCAGGGAAGTTCTGCAGAGACTGATGAATATTTCCTTCAAAATAGAGGTCCGCCGTACTGTTCTATATAAATAATGCAGCAGGATGTTAAGTGGGACTTTCCATGTAGCCCCCAGTTGGTGGCTAAAGTCAAAAGCTGAGGGCAAAGTGTGCCAAGCACCTCCAAAATCCTAAAAAGCACTACTCTCCCCAGTAGCCGTATAGTTCCCTAGATGAACTAGCCTCAAAACCTGTGAAGGACCAAGGGATGGAGAGTAATCTTTAGCTTTTTGAGCACTTACATATCCTCCCCTCTCTATGAGAGAGGAGAGTTCTTCCCTCTGTCCCCCTAAAATTGCTCAGTGAGAAAGAAAGCTTCAAAAGAATCATTGGTACATATTGAGATGCCAACAAAGGGGAAGGTGGGTTTCCATTCCACATTGGATGCCCTTCTGGGAGAGAGGAGATAAGAGAAAGACAGCAGCCAGGGGAGGGGACAGGAGGAGGCAGCCTGAGCTCTTACCACTACATTTGGCAAGGCTATGTGGGGCTCCATGGGTTAATTAGACATAGTGAGTGGGGCTGAACTTAGCCATCTTACACATCCCACACAGGAGGCTGCCTAGCAGGCAAGCCATCCCCAACCACAGAGGCAATGCAGGGTTTCCTAGGGGGTGGGAGCTGAGGTGGAAGTAGGGTTGCCAGATTTAGCAAATAATAATATTGGGGGTCCTGTATTTTACCTGGCAACCCTCAGTGGAGGCAGAAAAGATTAAACTGGAACCAATCATTTCTTTTTTGGTTCTTCAAAGAAATGTCTTGTAGAGAGGCCCCGACGGAATAATTTACAAGGTCAGAAAAAGGACATTTGACATGGGACGGCTGAAGGTAATGACTGAAGAAAAAGAAATACCATTTCATATTTATACCCCACCACATTAACATTGCTTGATAAAATGGATACATGAAGAAAACCACATAACAGAACACAGGAATGGAGAAAGAGATAGTGGGGACACCTCCATTTACAGGAGGCTGCTAAAATATAAATGAATTGAGCCCATACACATAGCTAGCTTTGAGCTTGGGCAGAAACACAGAGCAGGTTAATACAAGATTGTCGGTAAAGCCAGGGTAGGGCAAGTTTGGGCCTTTGCCCTACGGCTTCCAGGGGAACCATATCTTTTTTTGCAACCTTCCACGTGGACTAGGAGGAGCAGTAAATATGAGAACCCTGAAAACACCCTCTTTACAAAAGTCATTCAAACCTGACTGAAGCTGGGTGAGGGGCAATGACGAAGGGCAGTTTCCTTCTTGGCAGCACTGCTGTTGATCATCCATGCTGACTGTCACATTCCCACCACTGATGGCCAATGAGTAAGCATTTTCACAGTCAGTGCCCTCTTTAAAGTGGGGTTCAGCTAGCAAACACCAAGCAGGAGGCTGGTGCACATAGGACATCTGCCTGTTACGGAGCCAGGGACGGTCTCACTCACTACATGTACTCACTATTACTGTTCTCCAGTTATAGACAGGTTCCTCTGTAGGCAGCACACCACAGCAGTTAGAACTTCCTCGGACATGAGAACAGTGGTTGATGAAAGCCAGGTAATTTTTGTAATCTAATTTAAAAAGAGAGAAGGAAATGGACAAAATTTACCTTTGTGTGTATGTTTGTGTGTCTAGGCTTCGATATGCAATTGCCTTCTTCCTTGTTCTTGAAAGTCCCATTGACTTTCCCTGTGGCGTGTAGTGCATTACGCTGGTATTACAGACCCTCTTTCACACATCCCATTTCCTTTACTAGAGTATCGGCTCCTTGCAGGCTGAGAGCCTAGGGTTTTTCTTCCATCTTGGAAGTACCCACAACACCCTATGTAAATTCAATGAGCAACATATCTGCAACTGTCTAAACTATTTTCCTATAGTCTATAGTGTAGTGGGTGTTTCTTCTGAGTAGAATTTCTCTTGAGGGTGGAGGGTCTGTAAGATAAATGAGAGTAAACTGAAAAGCCCTTTCTGAACACTTAAAATTATCTGTTAGATATGCTTAACAGCAAATAATTTTATGCATTAGTATTCTTGTGTGGAATGTCATTTTCTACATTCTCTGTGTTTTTATATGTGAGAGACTTTAAATTTATTTAGGCTAGGAAGCTTCGATGCTTTTTGCCTTCATTAAAAGTAATCCATTGGGTAAAAATGATCTCTGTTCTGGTCACTATTCTTACTTGTGTATGTGACCAACAAGCTACTTGATGTACCAGCTTTACCTGGAGAGTTCTGAAGATCTCCAGTTGAATGCTGCTTCAGTACCTCAAAAGCATCTTCAAAGGCTTGACCCAGCTTGTCTTGTTCAATACAGGCCTGTTAGAACAACGGCAGAACTCTAGATGTGTGAAATTGCCAGCTGAACTTAATTTCTGATAAAAAGGAGGATTTCTCAACCACAGCACTATCAACATTTTAGGTTGGTTAAGTTTTTTGTAGAACTTTCTGTGCATCATAAATTGTAGCAGCTTCCCTGGCCTCTGCCCACTAGATGCCAGAACTGCCATAGTTGTGACAAAAAAATGTCTTAGCTATCTCATAGAGGACAAATATACTGTGGAGGACAAAAATCAACTCTAATTGAAATCCATTGCTCTATAATATAGTCTTTGGAGAACAGTATTTATTTGATAATAAAATATTTCACACCCTTGTGAAGTTTTAGCAAGGAGTTGTATGTATAGAAGGAAAGAGTTTGGAAAAAGGGATTAAGGGAATATCTTTAATGGGACAGAATCTGAGTCATTACTTAAAAATGAAATGCTCTTAATTTCTAAAGTGTGTCTCCAAGACCTAAAATTGAACAGTTTTGCAAATCATTTCATACCCTTATTAATCTGATCCATATATTTTATTTTCAAAATGGAGGACAAGTAAAGAGATTTTAAAATGCCAACTTACCATGCTTCATTAATAAATGGACAATTCTGAAAATATTTAAAAAACAAAATTAAAGATTTAAGTTTTAATTTCCCTTGAATTAAAAGCTTACTCACAATATATTCTCAAAATATCTTATATAAGCCAAAAATACCATCTGAATTCTCTTTGATGAGTATCAATTTACTTTCTACAGTTCACCGCAAACATTTCTTTTTGTCTTTCTATTATTACAAAACTTTACCTAATTGCCTAAACTGCTTAACTTATAAGTACATGGAAGTAGCTCAGGAGTATATTTAAGTATTTCAAGTATTTCAAAATTCTTTTAATTATTAAAGTATTTCAAATTTCTGAAATCAAAATCCTTTTTATCTTGGCATAGTTCTCCATTTATTAACAGTGATTTTTTTTTAACCTTTCTGATGTCATATAACCTTCTGAAAATCTGGGGAAAGACATGCCTTTTTTTCTCTCATGAAATCCCCATTCAAATAAAGTTTACATTATGAAACTCATCCATGAATTTTCTAAAATCCTAGGTTAAGAACCCTGGTCTATAATTTTACATTATCTACTATGTTAGCACTGTAAGTTATATTTTGTTTTTAAATAAACAATTATCACACAGACCCATATTGAATGTTTTTTAATTCTATGCTCTCTAGAACTGCACAAAATACAAATCCACATTAATAAGAGTGTGTGTTTAAGTCCAACACTGCTTTCTACTTCTTGTAGCATACCAAGCAGCTACTTACAGTTCTTAACATTTATCTTGCAAACACAACGAGTTCACTCTTTAACATTTAACACCGCACAATAATCTATTATTTTATATATATCTCCATGATACATTAATATAGTATGTCAAACATTGAAATTCTATTCCGCTCTTTGAAATCACTATACGATGTCAGTTAAAAGAGATTATGAGGAGAAAAGCCATTAGAAAAAAAAGAAAAATGTGAGGTGATGGATATGTTAACTAATCTTATTGTGATAATCATTTCAAAATATATACAAATGTGAAATTATCATGTTGTTCACTTTAAACTCACACTTTATAAGTCAATTATATCTCAGCAAACCATTGTGAGAGATGTTGAACAAGTTGGCAAAAATTAAAAAAATTTTATGTGGTCCATGGTCCCTAATGAGTATTACTAGTACATGGATTTTTAAAAAGCCGTGTCAATGACTTTCAATTTATTATGCCTCAACTCACAAGTGCCAAAGCAAATACGTCAATGTTGTACTTTGAATTACATAGTTAATCTGTCTTTGACTAAAATACCCAACATAACTATCACGATTCTTAAAAGTTTAACAAACCAAAAGGAATGAAAAGTGCCGGAAACCATTATTGATCACTTCAATTGCTTATTATTTCTTCTATGGGAACAAGCGGTCAATGAGAAACACTCATTAGCCAAAGGAGAAAATTAAAAGTTATTACAAGATATTTTGAAAAACAGAAGCTAAACACTTACCAGAAAGACACTTCAACCCTTTACAGAGACGTTGCATTAATATCAGAATCGTTAAGACACAACTGTCAAGAGCTCACTGGCACAGTGCATTAAATAGCTGTTTTTAAGGAAGTGCTACAAAAGGGGATTTTTTTTAAAAGATACAGTGCCTTCAAAATTTCTATTTCATGATATGGCCAGTAGAAGCAAGGGCTATTATTCTGAAAAGGCACAGAATAGAATCCTATGAGCCAAAAGCATTAGAATAAACCCCACAGACCCCCCTGGCCAGCATGAACTGCAGCTCCTCTGGCCGCCATAGCCCCATTGGAAACATCTGACATATAAACTCCTGTCCATCCTTTTTTTAAAATTCCTAATACTTCTCCCCTGATTCTGGACCCTGTGATACCTTTCTTTTCTGGACTATTAACAGCCTGCACACTGGCTTCTTCTATAGAACACAGGAATGGAGAAAGAGATAGTGGGGACACCTCCATTTACAGGAGGCTGCTAAAATATAAATGAATTGAGCCCATACACATAGCTAGCTTTGAGCTTGGGCAGAAACACAGAGCAGGTTAATACAAGATTGTCGGTAAAGCCAGGGTAGGGCAAGTTTGGGCCTTTGCCCTACGGCTTCCAGGGGAACCATATCTTTTTTTGCAACCTTCCACGTGGACTAGGAGGAGCAGTAAATATGAGAACCCTGAAAACACCCTCTTTACAAAAGTCATTCAAACCTGACTGAAGCTGGGTGAGGGGCAATGACGAAGGGCAGTTTCCTTCTTGGCAGCACTGCTGTTGATCATCCATGCTGACTGTCACATTCCCACCACTGATGGCCAATGAGTAAGCATTTTCACACTCAGTGCCCTCTTTAAACTGGGGTTCAGCTAGCAAACACCAAGCAGGAGGCTGGTGCACATAGGACATCTGCCTGTTACGGAGCCAGGGACGGTCTCCCTGTACATGTACTCACTATTACTGTTCTCCAGTTATAGACAGGTTCCTCTGTAGGCAGCACACCACAGCAGTTAGAACTTCCTCGGACATGAGAACAGTGGTTGATGAAAGCCAGGTAATTTTTGTAATCTAATTTAAAAAGAGAGAAGGAAATGGACAAAATTTACCTTTGTGTGTATGTTTGTGTGTCTAGGCTTCGATATGCAATTGCCTTCTTCCTTGTTCTTGAAAGTCCCATTGACTTTCCCTGTGGCGTGTAGTGCATTACGCTGGTATTACAGACCCTCTTTCACACATCCCATTTCCTTTACTAGAGTATCGGCTCCTTGCAGGCTGAGAGCCTAGGGTTTTTCTTCCATCTTGGAAGTACCCACAACACCCTATGTAAATTCAATGAGCAACATATCTGCAACTGTCTAAACTATTTTCCTATAGTCTATAGTGTAGTGGGTGTTTCTTCTGAGTAGAATTTCTCTTGAGGGTGGAGGGTCTGTAAGATAAATGAGAGTAAACTGAAAAGCCCTTTCTGAACACTTAAAATTATCTGTTAGATATGCTTAACAGCAAATAATTTTATGCATTAGTATTCTTGTGTGGAATGTCATTTTCTACATTCTCTGTGTTTTTATATGTGAGAGACTTTAAATTTATTTAGGCTAGGAAGCTTCGATGCTTTTTGCCTTCATTAAAAGTAATCCATTGGGTAAAAATGATCTCTGTTCTGGTCACTATTCTTACTTGTGTATGTGACCAACAAGCTACTTGATGTACCAGCTTTACCTGGAGAGTTCTGAAGATCTCCAGTTGAATGCTGCTTCAGTACCTCAAAAGCATCTTCAAAGGCTTGACCCAGCTTGTCTTGTTCAATACAGGCCTGTTAGAACAACGGCAGAACTCTAGATGTGTGAAATTGCCAGCTGAACTTAATTTCTGATAAAAAGGAGGATTTCTCAACCACAGCACTATCAACATTTTAGGTTGGTTAAGTTTTTTGTAGAACTTTCTGTGCATCATAAATTGTAGCAGCTTCCCTGGCCTCTGCCCACTAGATGCCAGAACTGCCATAGTTGTGACAAAAAAATGTCTTAGCTATCTCATGGAGGACAAATATACTGTGGAGGACAAAAATCAACTCTAATTGAAATCCATTGCTCTATAATATAGTCTTTGGAGAACAGTATTTATTTGATAATAAAATATTTCACACCCTTGTGAAGTTTTAGCAAGGAGTTGTATGTATAGCAGGAAAGAGTTTGGAAAAAGGGATTAAGGGAATATCTTTAATGGGACAGAATCTGAGTCATTACTTAAAAATGAAATGCTCTTAATTTCTAAAGTGTGTCTCCAAGACCTAAAATTGAACAGTTTTGTAAATCATTTCATACCCTTATTAATCTGATCCATATATTTTATTTTCAAAATGGAGGACAAGTAAAGAGATTTTAAAATGCCAACTTACCATGCTTCATTAATAAATGGACAATTCTGAAAATATTTAAAAAACAAAATTAAAGATTTAAGTTTTAATTTCCCTTGAATTAAAAACTTACTCACAATATATTCTCAAAATATCTTATATAAGCCAAAAATACCATCTGAATTCTCTTTGATGAGTATCAATTTACTTTCTACAGTTCACCGCAAACATTTCTTTTTGTCTTTCTATTATTACAAAACTTTAGCTAAATTGCCTAAACTGCTTAACTTATAAGTACATGGAAGTAGCTCAGGAGTATATTTAAGTATTTCAAGTATTTCAAAATTCTTTTAATTATTAAAGTATTTCAAATTTCTGAAATCAAAATCCTTTTTATCTTGGCATAGTTCTCCATTTATTAACAGTGATTTTTTTTTAACCTTTCTGATGTCATATAACCTTCTGAAAATCTGGGGAAAGACATGCCTTTTTTTCTCTCATGAAATCCCCATTCAAATAAAGTTTACATTATGAAACTCATCCATGAATTTTCTAAAATCCTAGGTTAAGAACCCTGGTCTATAATTTTACATTATCTACTATGTTAGCACTGTAAGTTATATTTTGTTTTTAAATAAACAATTATCACACAGACCCATATTGAATGTTTTTTAATTCTATGCTCTCTAGAACTGCACAAAATACAAATCCACATTAATAAGAGTGTGTGTTTAAGTCCAACACTGCTTTCTACTTCATGTAGCATACCAAGCAGCTACTTACAGTTCTTAACATTTATCGTGCAAACACAACGAGTTCACTCTGTAACATTTAACACCGCACAATAATCTATTATTTTATATATATCTCCATGATACATTAATATAGTATGTCAAACATTGAAATTCTATTCCGCTCTTTGAAATCACTATACGATGTCAGTTAAAAGAGATTATGAGGAGAAAAGCCATTAGAAAAAAAAGAAAAATGTGAGGTGATGGATATGTTAACTAATCTTATTGTGATAATCATTTCAAAATATATACAAATGTGAAATTATCATGTTGTTCACTTTAAACTCACACTTTATAAGTCAATTATATCTCAGCAAACCATTGTGAGAGATGTTGAACAAGTTGGCAAAAATTAAAAAAATTTTATGTGGTCCATGGTCCCTAATGAGTATTACTAGTACATGGATTTTTAAAAAGCCGTGTCAATGACTTTCAATTTATTATGCCTCAACTCACAAGTGCCAAAGCAAATACGTCAATGTTGTACTTTGAATTACATAGTTAATCTGTCTTTGACTAAAATACCCAACATAACTATCACGATTCTTAAAAGTTTAACAAACCAAAAGGAATGAAAAGTGCCGGAAACCATTATTGATCACTTCAATTGCTTATTATTTCTTCTATGGGAACAAGCGGTCAATGAGAAACACTCATTAGCCAAAGGAGAAAATTAAAAGTTATTACAAGATATTTTGAAAAACAGAAGCTAAACACTTACCAGAAAGACACTTCAACCCTTTACAGAGACGTTGCATTAATATCAGAATCGTTAAGACACAACTGTCAAGAGCTCACTGGCACAGTGCATTAAATAGCTGTTTTTAAGGAAGTGCTACAAAAGGGGATTTTTTTTAAAAGATACAGTGCCTTCAAAATTTCTATTTCATGATATGGCCAGTAGAAGCAAGGGCTATTATTCTGAAAAGGCACAGAATAGAATCCTATGAGCCAAAAGCATTAGAATAAACCCCACAGACCCCCCTGGCCAGCATGAACTGCAGCTCCTCTGGCCGCCATAGCCCCATTGGAAACATCTGACATATAAACTCCTGTCCATCCTTTTTTTAAAATTCCTAATACTTCTCCCCTGATTCTGGACCCTGTGATACCTTTCTTTTCTGGACTATTAACAGCCTGCACACTGGCTTCTTCTATTTGGTCTCTTTCCTCTTAAACCACAACCACTTTACTTATACTGTTGTTCACTGATCAGTTTCCTAAGAGGTCGTAGAGGTGTAGGCCCTTGCCTTGGCATTCGAGGCTCTTATTGCTGCTTTAGCCTAATTACCACCACTGCTTTAAGAGGAGCATGGAATCCATGCTCTGGTCATCCCTCCACACCTCCAAAATTGTCAGGAGAGACTTATGGGTGGTGGTCTGGTGGGACACGGTTGAAGCTGCGGCATATACAGGCAGGTCCAGTTCTCTTATTTAGCTTTAAGGGCTATTTGGAATGGTTTTTGGTAGCTCTGACAGAAATTAGGCATGCTCCCTCCACCTACAATCCTTCCTTCCCAGGACATCTATCTGATCTGTTCAGTTACCCATTCCATCTTACCTGTCCATCAGAGTCCAGTCGAGCATCCACGTGTACTAGGTGGAAATAACCTTGCCCTCTGCAACACCCGTACCTAACAGTAACCTTCTACCATTTTAATAGACGTCACATTTAGCCAGGGGGAAATCCATCTAAATTTTTTGTAAACCTTGTGGGTGGGGAGAGATTTCTGTTTTGCATTGCTGGAATCTGAGCTCACCTTTGATATGGGACTATTGTTCTAGACCAACTACTTTTTTTACTCAATTTGTTATGCAAATGTAAACACACATCCTCTCTTCTGAAATGTAGATGTTATAGTAACAACTGTACAAAACCGTAATCCCTAATGTTGATGAGTATTTAATCTGCACCATCCCTGCTCTACGCCCCCCTTTCTCATCATTTTTTTCATTTGGCTCATTTTTTCAACAAAAAGGAATACTGAGCTCTTTCCTCTGCTAGACACTGTTCTGTGTCCAGGGCCTTGAACAAGTTCTAATGAGAGAAATGATTTTTTTTAAAAAAGCAAATTAAGACAAGCATGAGATGATGATAAGTACTGAGAAGTGGTAAGAGAGGTGCTGGAGAGAGCATGTGGTCATGGTGAATGGTCTGAATGGTCTCAAAAATTCTCTAAGGAGGGAACATTGTGTGAGCTGAAATCAAAGGATAAGAAAGAGTGAACAAAAGAAAAGCCGGAGATGCAAGGATCCAGCAAAGCACTGTCGGGCAGGGAACACACATGCAAAAACCTTAGATGGAAATGGAAATGAGTTTGGTTTATTCAAGGCACAGAAATAAAGTCAAGGAGCGCGAGTAAATTGAACCAGTAGGTGAGGAGGCAAAATTCGGGAGGAGAGTCCAGATCAATGAACACATCAAGCCAAAAAAAATTTTTTAAATATGTTTTCATTGTTGTTAACAGCCATGTGATCAATAAATATGAGAGATGCCCTCTAAAAATAAATAAATAAATAAATAAATAAAAGGAAAAAATGTCAAGAAACATACATATGTGCACATATGCACATGTATGCATGTAAGAGCACCCACTGTTTTAAATTTGATTATAAATCAAAAGTATTGTTACTTTGGTTATTAAAATCTAAAACTTCAGCTGTATTTCAGTCACATAGGAAAACCACTTACTGACTAAACATGAATGAGAAGCATTATAAATTAATGTTGCTTTATTTTGCAAAAACTAGCAAATTGGTCTTTGAAAAACTTCAGTTTCTTAGTTTTAAAAAAGTCCCTTTGTTTTGAAACTCTATCATAAACGTAAAAATACTGTTTTTAACTAAATGGATGTGAATTTACTTTTTATTTACTTTGCTGTAGGTCTCATGTAGATATGTAGGCATTGAGCATAATATAGATTGTGTCCTCAGTGAAAAAAAAAATACATGCTTTCAAAAGAATCTGAAAATCAAATGTGATAGTAGTTACATGCTTAACACATTTCATAGATGAGGAATTTAAACCGAGACTCAAAGACTTTTCATGGCTTTTTTCTAAGGTCCAATTGCTAGTGACAGATGGGCTGGGCTGGGTCCAGATTTGGGCCCAACTGACTTTATTCCCATGCTGTCAGCCACTATGCGGAGCCCTGTGTCTGCAGTGCCCCATTTGACCAGGGTTCTCAGTTCCAGTGGCAGTCTCCATAGCTCACAGCAGATTCGTCAGTCGTTCAGGCTTAGGACGTATTTGAAATGAGTGGAAAAACATATGAGCTTTCTAAACCAGCATTTTGACAACTGGTGTCTGCAGAGTTTAATTTGCAAGATGTTAATGGATAGTGTATGTTGTACACGGACCCTGAAAAAACTTGAATGGAAGCCAGGTTTGCTGCTTAGAACTTTTTTAGTGAAACCAATAAGCATTTTGATGTTTTTCAACACAACCCTGTATTATAAATAAGAAAACGGAAATGCAGTTTTGGGTCCTTTGTAGGGCTAAGGTACGAAAATGCTTTCAGCAACTCAAAAAGATGATACATTGTTATTTTAATGTTTTACAACTCAAGATTCCTATTCTTGAGAATCTGATATCAGACATCTGTGAGTTCTTTACCCAGGAAAATGCCATCAGCACACATTTTCTGGAAAGCCCTCCCTGTAAAGCCAACAGGCCCTAGTGTAGGAGCTTCTCTGATATTGTATTTTCAAAACTTTTGTATTTAAGGTCTAAGTCCTGCTTCTTGAGACATTTGTACTGAATATGCACACACAGAGTATGTTTTTTGGAGACGGACGTCAATGTTTTCCTCAACCCCAGAAGTGAGCTGAGTAATAAGGGCTCTAAAGAGAGGATCCCTGATTGACAGATTCTCTTTTGCAAAAGGTCATTGTCCTCAGTGGCAACTGAGATTATTTTAGAAAATTTTAAGCAACAGATGTGCTGGAGTCTAATGTTATGGTGCCCAGCTTCAGATGGAAGATTGCATTTTCTGAGAACAGAGAATTTAAAAGGAGACTAAATTCAAGCTCTTCTCATTCTTTGCAATTTCTACTTAAATAACTCAATTGCTTAGGGGATTAAAGAACTGTGTCTTAATCTCAGTAAAATCTCTGAAAATGTAACAAACAAATAATATTGCTAGACTGGGAAGAAGGCGCTAGAAAATTTCTCATGTCAGAGTGGTAATCAGAGAACCATAGGTTATGAGCCAAATAGTTTGCTCTGACCCTCATAATTACTTGCCTTAGATTATTCTTTGAAATTTATTGAGACCAACATAGGGCCAATCTTGATGAGCGCTCGATTTGCATTTGAAAGAACATGTATTTTGCAGTTTTTGTAAGTAGTGCCTGGTAAATGTCAGTTAAATCTATTTGGTTGATAATAATTGTTCAAATCTTCCATATCTTTATTGATTTTTTTTTCATCTGCATGTTCTATCAGTTACAAAGATTACAGAAGATCACAGAGATTACAAAGAATAATGTCCAGTTATAACTGTGGATTTATCTATTTCTCCCTTTAGTTCTGTCAATGTTTGCATCATGTATTTTTGAAACTCTTTTAGATGGATGCTCTTTGGGACTGTTATGCGTTCTTGATGAATTGAGCCTTTTATCCGTATAAAATTTCTGTCTTTCTGGTAATCCTTGAAGTCTACTTTAATATTAACCACACCAGTTTTTTACTTTCCTTTTTACTTTCAATATGTCCAGCTTGTTGTCTGTGTCTATATTTAAAGTGTGTCTCTTTAAGCAACATACAACCAGGTATTGCTTTTTTTTTTTTTAATCCAATTTGGACCTCTGCCTTTTCAGGTTTATCCAGTTTTGTAATTACTGATATGGTTAGGGTTAAGTCTACCATCTTGCAATTTTTCTATTTGTCCTACTTATTTTGTGTTCCTTTGTTCTTCCTTCCCTGCTTTCTTTTGGATTAAACAAGTCTTTTTATTACTTCATTTTATTTCCCCCATTGGCTTTTTATAATGGGATGGTACATTATATATGATATTATACACTTCTGCTCTAGGAATTATGATATGAATTCTTAATTTATCAGTCTACCTTGAGTTACTGTTATACCATTTCATGTATAACATAAGAACCTTAGCATGTGCATTCTCATTTACATCCCCTCCCATCCCTTATACTAGTCTTGTCATATATTCACTTCTACTTATATTATAATAGATTATTTAATCCTCATAATAATGCTTTGAGGTGTTATTATTATACGCAGCTCCATATCTCCTATCTGTATAAATTTGGACAAGTTACTTAACCTTTAGTTTCCTCTCTGTAAAACGTGGATAATGATTTACTTACCACACAGATTTATTATGAAAATCTGAGTGAATCCATGTAATGTATATTGGATGGTTCTGGCATTTAATAAATGCCAAAAAATGCTTTGTATGTATCCCTGTTTTACAGATGAAAAAACAGAAACTCTGGGAAATTACAGGGCTTACTCAAGGTCACACAGCCAGTGAGTGATAGAGGTGAAGGTTTTCAAACCAGTTCTACCTGACTCTAAGTAAAGACTTTCAACCATTCAATGGATTTTGTGTCCTTATCTATGGAGTGAGACTGAGAATGAGAATCAGGATTTGATAATGGCCTTATGTCAAAGGGCTCTTGAGAGCTTTTATTAAGATAGTGCAGAAGAGCAGTAAACATAAATTATGGTAGCTCTTTTATCACCCAAACTGCTATTTTACCACATCTGGGATCTGCAGAAAGCCTAGCTAGCAAGTGACAGAGCCGAGACTCAAACTCTGGTCATCCTTGCAAAGTCTGGTGACTCTTTCCAATAACCAGGTTGCACAAATATTCTTCACCGGCTCTATGTGTTTAGTGTAATTACTTTTTTAAGTTGAAATATAGTTTATGTACAATATTATATTGGTCTCAGATGAGCAATTTAGTGATTCATCAGTTATATACAGTATTAAATGTTCTCCATGATAAGTGTACCATACAATGATATTATAATACTATGAGCTATATTCCCCATGCTATAGTTCCATCCCTATATAGGAAAATACATTTGCAAGCACTATATCTGATTAGGGGCTAATATATAAAATATATAAAGAACTCATACAAGCCAACACCAAAAAAACCCCAAATAATCTGATTAAAAACTAAGCAGAGGACATGAATAGAGATTTTTCCAAAGAAGACATACAGGTGGCCAATAGACACATGAAAAGATGCTCAACAGCACTAATACCAGGGAAATACAAATCAAAACCACAGTGAGATATCAACTCATACCAGTCAGAATGGCTAACACCAACAAGCCAAGAAATAGCAAGTTTGGCATGGATGTGGAGAAAAGGGAACCCTCTCACAATGCTGGTGGGCATGTAAATTGGGGCAGCCACTGTAGAAAGCAGTATGGAGGTTTCCCAAAAAAACTAAAAGCAGAAATGCTATAGGACCTAGCGATTCCACTACTGGGAATCTACCCAAAGAAAACAAAATCATTAATTTGAAAAGATATCTACACTCCTATGTTTATTACAGCATTATTTACAATAGCCAAGATATTGAAGCACCCTGTGTCCATCAATACTTTTTTTAAAACATAACCTCAAGATTGTACTGTGTTCAGAATAAAACAAAACATGAAGCTTAGAACTGGACTGCTTAGAACCCTTTCTCCATATCTCTTCCCAGCTCAAAATGCTTACATCTCTTAGTAGCCAGTATTCTCTTAGATCTGTAGGTGGGCTCAAGCGTCAGCACAATATTTGTACTTTCAGCCTTTTTACAGACCAGCTTAGTCTGCCCACCACAGTCATTATGCTTCCTGTCATAAGCACCCTGCTGCTTTCCCAGGGTAAACAGAGAATCCTTGTCTTTCTTGTACCACGTCACTTTCCGAGGCTGGTGCTTGGCACACTTCTTAAAAGAAATCCAGAGGATTTTAGGAATGTTCATCATGTTTGCGAGAGTGCTATTAGCAGGGCAAACTACTGTAATTGCTTTAATACCTTCTACCAGTGTTCATACCAAAGGTGAAACTCCTCTGACACAGAACTAGTTAAAAACCACCCAGCTCCACAGAGAAGGAGACAGCAGATCTACTCTCATGGTCTTTGTGCAGCACTGAGGGGCTGCTGATTTTTTTTGCCCTGTGTTCTCTGAACCATGGCTGATTCTGTTCAAGGGTACTTAGTTCTAAAACACCTTCTGACAGCCTACTGGTGTGCCTGACTGCACTCTAGGCAGGAAGAAGTGAGTTAAACTGTAGCCAAATTCTTCAGACCTTTTTTATCTTGAACCTGAAGAGCAGGTTTGGCTGTTCACTTCAGCCCTTCTGGCCTCAGAAGCTTCTAAGCCGAAACCACTCACTGACTTGGGAAAGGGACTCCTACCTCCTCTTAATGGAGTCATCACCCATATTTTCACTTTCTGTGTACTAAGAAGACAAGCTTGCCATGGATTCTGCTTCATCTCCAGGTACTTTTTTTTCCCCAGCAATTTGCGAGCGGCAGCTCTCCATACTTTAATAAAATTGGGGTAGCAAGGCAGCAATGCCCTTTGCAGAGAAGCAGCATCCTATTCCTATGGAAGGTGACTGGCTAACTGGGAGGGAACTGGTGGGCAAAGTGGAGGGGATATTCTCTGAGCTCAAAGCAGTTTGGGAAACTGACACATTAATGGGATCCCAAATTATAGTTAAGCTATGTGTCTATAACAGGCTATATGTATTTCTTTTTTTAGTTGGCATTATGAAATATATTGTCTCTTCATATTTAACGTCTCAGATAACTGCAACTAGCAATGAAAATATTCATTTAAAAACACCTATAGAGTGCCTTTAGTATCATTAGAAAAGAGAGAAACCTTTCAAAGATCTTCAAGGGCTTCTCAATACTGCTTTGCTCCAGTTTTTCACATCTGTAATTTTTAGGATTCTCATGCAGTCTTCGTGATTACCACCGCCACCACCATGATCATAAAACCTTGTGCTTTCATAGGGTTCATTTTCAGCACTACATTACTCTGAGGGGAAGGTAAACTCCAGAGGGGAAAAGACAAGTTCTCACATGTGTTTTGCCTTCTGGAAGCAGGTAGCAAGACACTATAACCCAACATGGGGCCTCAATGAAGTTTGGATGAATAAATGAGTACATTGTATCATTTACTATCGCAACAACCTGTAAGTCTGGCAGACCAAATCTCATCCCCATTTTGCTGGTGAGGGAACTGATGCTCCGAGATGTTGGAGGTCACTCAGTGATTTAGTGTTTGGTTTATAATTAGGTGTCATCCTCAATTCAGCTTTTCAGATTCCGTCTCTAGAAAATATTGACAGATGCCAACATTGGCTTGGCTTTTAATCTGGTAATGTTCTTAGGAAGCAAATATACAAAGGGGAGGACCTCATTAATTTTTATTTATAAAACTAGATTTTTTTTTATTAAGAAAAATGTTTTTTTAAAAAAACACAATAAAGCATTCTTGCAACTGCTTTTCCATGTCAATTATTAAAGGTTTTGTTGTTAGGGATTTTTTTAAAATGCCTATTTGAAAGTAAAGGGAAAAGCATGGATTATCGAATGTCACGGGATGCTGATGCCCAGGATGGACTAGTTGAGATCTCTTTGAAGTATTAGTTGGTTTACATTATGTTGTACATCATGTAAGATGGCTGCACTAGGCAGCAGGAACTGATAGCATTTCCCACCTGGTAAACAGGTGGGAATGATCAGAGGCTGCCTTATGGACAATCAATTTCTCATGGCCAGATGTTGCTGCAAACAAATCTATCAACTGTGACAGAAGGTTTTGTTCTGCTTTAAATGCTGTGGTTGAGATTAACAAAAATTAGGAAATCTAACAATACCACTAAATGGAGATGTGGATCAGTGGGAATTCATCACATGACTAGTAAGAGTCTTAAGTTTGCACAACCACTTAGGAAAATAACTAGTCATTAGTAAAGCTTAGCCCACAAATTCATTCTTAGAAGTATACATAAGAGGCATGAATGTATACATGCACATTGATATGTCCATGAGTGCCAGGATATATGAGAAAGATGGTGTTAGCAGCCATGCTTATAGTGGAAAAGATCTTCAAACAACTCATGTCTCTATGGAGAGAGAGCAGGAAAGAGTGCAAATATATGTTTATATATGTGCAAATACACAAGATGGATACATACATACATATACATATACACTCTGACAGGAGAATGAATAAATGTGGTACATTCACACAGTGGAATAATGTAGAAGATCGAAAATGCACAAACCAGCTAAATGCAATGACATGGAAGAATCCTGAACATATAATGTTCAGTGAAAACAGTAAAACCCAGAAACCACTTAAAATATGGAATAATTTTTACAGAATTCAAAAATAAACAATTAAACAACATATAGTCAGCCTTTTTATTTCCCCTCCCTCCCTCCCTCCTTCCCTTCCTTCCTTCCTTCCTTCCTTCCTTCCTTCTTCCTCTCTTTCTTTCATTCTCTCTACCCATCTGTCATCTACCCATTTATTATCTTTGTATCCACCTATTATCTATTTATCTCTCTACCTTTCTATGTGTATGTATGTGACCAAGAGACTAATAATTTTTTTTTGAGAGGGCATCTCTCATATTTATTGATCAATTGGTTGTTAACAACAATAAAATTCTGTATAGGGGACTCAATGTACAATCATTAATCAACCCCAAGCCTAATTCTCAACAGTCTCCAATCTTCTGAAGCATAATGAACAAGTTCTTACGTAGTGAATAAGTTCTTACATGGTGAACAGTGCAAGGGCAGTCATATCACAGAAACTTTCAGTTTGATCACGCATCATGAACTATAAACAAGTCAGATATGATTATTCGTTTGATTTTTATACTTGATTTATATGTGAATCTCATGTTTCTCCCTTATTATTGTTATTATTATTTTTTTTAAATAAAATGCTGAAGTGGTAGGTAGATGCAAGATAAAGGTAGAAAACATAATTTAGTGCTGTAAGATGGCAAATGTAGATGATCAGGTCCGTGCCTATAGACTAAGTATTAATCCAAGCTAGACAAGGGCAACAAAACATCCACGAATGCAGAAGATTTCTCTCAAAACAGATGGGGTGAGGTTCTAAGCCTCACCTCTGTTGATCCCCAATTTCTCACCTGATGGCCCCTCTGCGACTGTGCCTGTCTTAGGTTGTTTCCCCCTTGAGGAATCTTACCTGCCAAGAGAGTAATAAGCACAAACTTTAGAGCAGTGGATTCTTTCGGGAACAGGAGATGGTCTAGGCAGTAGCACATAATTTATTAAAAATGTTCTAGTTTTTGTGCCAGGAGATGGGTTCATGTGTGTTCATTTTATTAAAATGAAAGCATACATGTGCTTTTTTATGTGTTTCAAATCATGTCCTAAAATAATAAACAACAAACAGAACAAAGGATATAAGGTCATTTAACAAAGCAAGACAAGGCCCAAAATTCTAAGGGAACAGCTTTGCTTTGAACAGTGAAAACTCTCATCAATATTGTAAAATTGAATTCTTTATTCGACTAAAACTTCTGCATAACTTAAATATAATCTGTGTAAATTTATGGCAGAAATAAAGAAGTACACCAAATAACAAAGTATAAAAGTTTAGAAAAACTGTTTTGTCCCCCTCATCTAAGCTTCCAATCATCTCCCAGTGTTATTTCTTGTTGGAAGCCCTCTATTCAAGTGGATATAATTTTGCCATCAGGTAACACTATACGTCACATACAGACTCTCGAGATTCATGTTTCTTGGCATTCCACTTTGGAAAAATATAAAAGCAGACTTACCCGGTTTTAAATCTAGTTGGTAAGGCATCTATGCTCTCTAATTTGTCTGATGACAAGCCAAAGATCTGTTACTTCTTTTGCATTCATGCTGTGAATTTTAAAAACATACTTATAAATAACTCTTGAATGAAAGAAGAAATCATAATGACAAGTTAATAAATAATTAAAACAATGATAACAAAAGCTCTGTGCATTAAAACTTGTGGAATGGAGCAAAAGTGATGCTTTTAGTCTTATATGCTCATATTAGTTAAAAAACAAACACAAGCAAACAAACAAAAGTTAAAGACATGTAGCCTAAATAAGAGATTTCAATTGTCAGATTTGCAGTCTTGGACACTAATGTGCCTGAATATTCATGTGTTTGAAAGGATCTCCATCAGCTGAGATCCAGAGTTAGAGTCTCAGGAGCTTGGGGAGGGGAAAGACAACGTCATTCCTATTAGACTACACAGCAGGGAGAATAAAATCAACCTCAAAATCTCCTGAAAGGGATGGGGGGAAGAAATATCCAAAAAGAGAATGAGTCTTTCAGAAGGGAGGGCTGCTAATCAAAGAACCAGAGAAGACTGTTCTAGAACTACCCAAGAAAAACCCTGAAGGAAAAGTGATTATCTCTGGCAAAATCATTGTTATTGTGGAGATGGATTGCAGGGTGTGGTAGCCCATGAATTTTAGAATGCTTCAGGGATCTCCAAGGAGACCATCCTCATTATGAGATGCAGAGCCAGATTCAGGGTGGGCCAGGCATGAAGGATCCAGGAGTAACAATCTACTATATTTAAATCTCAAATATCACCACGAATGTACAGAGGTAAAGGAAATATATTTACCTGAATTTTCCCCTAGGACAGGGTTATAAATAAATGAAAAAAAGTTTGGTAAAGGTGGCAGAGGTGGGGAGCAGGACGTCTGAGAGAGTCCATTTTGTATCCATGTGGGTCTCTGAGCTGCCTGAATTTATTCATTCAACATCTACTAAGCACCAAATAGGTGTTGTTCTAGGTGCTAGTATACATCTGCAAACAAGCAAAGATTCCTGTCTTTATAGCATTTCTGTGGAAGGAGACAGACAATAAACATGAGCAAGATGAATAAGCCAAATGACAGTGTAGAAGAAGATAAGTAATTTATGAAAAGA